ATATCAAGTACACCAAGCTCAGACCCAGATCTTATTGGTAATCTACGCTCTGGCTGAGACCATTACTTGTGCAATAGGTGTCCCTATCCACTACCGACCACCAGTCCAATTATCTGCAATCCAAACCTACCAGAGTGACCATCATCATCAACGCACTCACCTGGTATTTTATTACCCTTCACAAATCCTATTTTGGTACACTTCCCTATGACGTCATTCCCCGCATCTCTAGTACTCTAGCTATAGCGAAAAAATTTAGAGTTACATGAGGATGATCATCCAAATTATCTAATCAAAATTGTAAAAGTTTTTAATATACCTTCCAATAAATTAAATTTTTTTCAAACTTTGAGTGAATATATCTCGACAGCTATAAAGCCAAATACAATGAACTTCTTTTATTTGAATTCTACAAATTTGTAGAATTTAAATAAAAAAATTTTTATCAAATTTGGGCTGATAATTATCAAAAAACCTTCATTCAAAGTTTGAGAAAAATTTTAACAATTTTTAAAACATTTTAAAACTTTAAGCGAAGTATCTCAATAATTATCTAGCCAATTTTAGTAATTTTTTTTTTTTACTTGATTCTATAGATTTCTAGAATTCAAAAAAAGACAAGTTCATTGTATTCGGCTTGGTAGTTATTGAGATATCTTTGCAAGAAAAATTTTGGCGTAGCTATTTTAATAGAAGTTTTAAATTTTTTAAAACTTTAAGCAAAGGTATCTTGATAACCATTAAGCCAAATTAGATAAACTTTTTTTTATATGAACTAAATAAAATTCTTCACATTTAACTTGATGGTTGTCGAGTGTGTATAAGGCAAAAGCTTTTTATAGAGTTAAAATCTTATATCCTAGACGCTAAATTTAAAAAAAATCGCATATTATTGTAATCTACATACAAAAATTTAATAATTCATAAATCTGTACTTTAAATTTTTGATCAGTTCACTTTTGCAAAAGTAATATTTCAATTATCAGTTTGCTAGCTAGATTTACGCTGAATAACCCAAAATTTATTATAATTATAAGGGCGGAAATCAAAATTTTTAAAGCATAAAAATCTTTAGAGATATTATCAAATGATTTGTATATTTAATAAAAAACCCATTTGATGAATAGATTCAAAATGATCTAAAACAACTATAAAAAGTTTTTACTTTGCTTCCTACTCCAGCCCAATTAATTGTTATAGAATTTGCTTACGCATTATTACTCTTTGCCTAATTTGTGATTTTTATTGAAAAAACAGCTATAGATTGCTATGAAATTACTTTAAAATTACATATATTTTGGTACTAGATTATTAGTGTTCTGTACATTTTGCTCACTATAAGTAAATTCATATGCGAGATCACATTTAGAGAGGTTTGACTATATTCTCTAAATTAATAAATAAAACCGGTTAAAAAAAATTGTGCAGACTTATTTTAATTCATAAAGAGATATTTAAAAAAGTTTGTTCACAGTCAAAGCTCTATCCATATTCGACCTTGATAATATGCACTTGCAATTTGATATACTTAGCTCTGCAATTTAAGCTGTTATACAAATGCACTACACATTATAGATTAACTAAAAATAGAAAAGTGAACGATCGTAATTAATGAATTGAATTTTTAATTAATTCTTAAAAATAAATTTATTAAATTATTAATAGAACGCATAAAATTCATTTAAATTATAAATAGAATGCATAAAATTAATTAAATATATACGTATCTAAAAATTGATTAGTCTTGATTATATCGTCAAACAATATTTTCTATACCTTCAATAGAATTAATTAAATGCTTAAGATATAATAATCCGTAATTGAATTCTTGATTAAAAGGTTCTATTCCAATTGTCATACAACTAATAAAGGGAGCTGTGCCAATAATAGAAAAATCTGTGATAGGCGTGTAAAAAATATGCAAAATTGGCATCCTTTCATAAAAAGAAGTTATTAGTTTAATATTTTTATTCATTTGAAATAATTAAATTATTGCTTCATGATCAATATATTCATATTCAAAATAAATTAATGCTAGTTTAGGATTTTTTTTCACTTAAATGCGAAGTAATTAAGTGAATGTCTTACAAGACGACTATGCTTGAAATAAGTGGAATGAAAAAAGTAGTTAGTTTAGTGTTTTTCATTTGAATGTGAAATAATAAATAAATGCCTTATGATTAATATGCTTATACTTGAAATAATGAAGTGAAAAAGTAGTTAGTTTAGCAATTTTGTTCATTTGAATGTGGAATAGTTAAATAAATACTTTATGATTAATATGCTTATACTCAAAATAATAAAGTGAAAAGGTAGCTTAGCAATTTTGTTTATTTAATGTGGAATAGTTAACAAACGCCTGACGAGATAATAATATTTAAAATAAATGAAGTGGATGTGGTAGTTAGTTTAGCAATTTTTGTTTGTTTAACTATAGAATAATTAAATGAATGCATTATTGATTTCATATGAAGTTTCAAAGCTCAATTAAATAAAAAAAAAGATAATTATTAGCTTAGTCTTTTGCTTTACTGTATAATTATAATGCAAATTTTTTGTATAAATAAAACCAATTTCTTGCCTGTTAGCTCAATAAAATAAAAACAAAAATTTTTTTTTTATTAAATATATAAAGCCACTTTAGATATTGCTAAGATTGTCTTAAAAATCGTCTTCGCTTCAAAATACTAGTGATAAAGTTATATTTAAAAAGTTCCAATTATAAACTTCATATTCAAATAGATCAGACCTTCTAAAGCTCAAATTAAATGCGAAAAAATAAGTAATCATAATACAATTCAAGGTACAAATCAACTATAATATAATTAATTAGTATTGATTTGTTTGTTAATGAATAAATCTATTTTTTTTTCTATAGAAAATCCAGCTCAAAGCTCTAAAAAGATGTGCAACAGCTGCTATACCATGAAAATTTTGAGTGATTTTTGGCATCTTTCTAGTAGTGGTACTCATCATGACTATAATATATGCAACAAATGCGATTCAAGAAAAAAAAAAAAAGAAAAAAAAATATCAGCCTCTGAAAATTTGGAAAGAACTCAAACTGATTTCAATGTGAATAAAAAATCGAAAAATCTAGACTCTGGCTCTGAAGGTTCTATTGATAAACTTCAATATAAAAATAAAGAGGATGAGCATGATGATCAGAATGACAATGATCTAAAAGTACTACGGTATGACCTGGATGAAATGCATGAAGTCATGGCAAAAATATTCAAAGAAGCAGAAGCACAAAATGATGCTATAAAATTTGTATACGAGATTGAAATAGATCAAGATATTCTTGATGCTGTTTCTTTAACTAAACATGAGTTAAATAATAATGATTTAAAAACAATTGAGAATAAATTTCATCAACTTGCCCATGCATTTATCATGCCACTTGAGTCAGGTTCTGGCTATTATTGGGAAGTATGTAAAACATATCTGAATAGCTGGAAAAAAAAATTCTCTGATTCTGCAACTATATACCTTGGCTGTACAATGCGAGAGGATCGAGGATAGAAAAAACCAAAGCTCCAATTATCTAAAAGAATAAGTGAAGCCTGTGCACCTATAGAGAGGTATGCCTGTTCAGAAAATATAAGGCTCACTATTATTCCAGAAGAGCATTATGTGTTAGTTCAAGAGCATCATGATGTTGCACATACAAAACCAACCTACCGACAGATAGAGTTTCCAATCGAAGCAAGAGAATGGATTCAAAGGAACGTTTCGTTTAATATAAGATATACAGAAGTATATCGTGAGCTCTGTATAAGTAAACTTATTAATCCAGAAATCTATATAATTGAACAAGTATATTACTGGATATATGCTTGTAGTAAAAATACTTATACAATTAATCAAGATAATCTACTTTTATCCGCAAAGTTATATCTTGAACAACCCAAATTTGTAGAAAAAGGGTTTAAAGTTCTTACCTATATTAAAAATAATTTTGTACAGGTTTTAGGATTTTTGACACCACTGTTTAGGCATATTAACATAAAAAATACAACAGAAATCATTATAGACTCAACCTTTAAAACAAATAAAGAAGGTTTGAGCTATTTGTCGTGAATCTGAACTGCGACAAGTATGGTATGCCAATAGCATACATGTATCTGTCAACTTCAGATGGTACTGAAGAAGCTAGAAATAATCTTGCAAATTTTGCAAAAAGCTGCATTGAAGTGCTGCGTATATTTTTCACTAGTCTTCGCCAAGAGGGGTTGCAGCCAGTATTTGTATTGGTAGATAAGGACACAGGAGAAATTTTTTCTGTTAGTGAGGCTTGGCCATGGATAGCCAGTATTCAAATTTGTCGCTAGCATATCCTACATACAATTGATCGAAAATTAAAAGAAAAAATATCTAAAGCAAGTACATACTCTGGAGCTAAGGCACTAGAAGCATATTGTAAATTCGAGTTTATCAATCTGTCATAGATTCAAGGTGGTACTGGACCCTTCTGCCCAGATGAATACATTAAAGAAATTTTAAATATAGTAAAAAAACATTTGTGGATGCATCCTCTTATCCTTATTGGAAAAAATTCTTACAAGACTTCGGCAGAGATCTATCATTTCTGTATTCAAGAATTATATCAGTTTTGTTATTTGTATAACCTTGTTAGATTATGGAGTTATTTATGGACAAACTGGTATAATGAAAAGGACTGGAAATTGTTTACCTTATCTTCATATTCACTGGCTATGCCATTTGCGTGTACTACGATAATTACAAAAAGTCATTGGAGAGTTCTTAAATATAATTACAAATACAACTATAATCGGCCACGCATAGACAAACTTACTCAAATAATAACTGAGCAACTTATTCCCAATTTTGAAATTAAGCTAATTCAATATAATGGAAATCGAACTTTTTTGGCATGATGATATGAGTTCAAAGCGAAATAGCGTAAAGCAGCAATAGCAGATATCTAATCTAATATCGAAGAAAAATATCATATTGATATAAATAATTAGGTATGCTCTTGTCTGGCATATTTAAACAGTTATTATCATCTCTGTAAACATTTTATAGATAAAAAAAATGGTAAATATTTTTTACCAACCTTTTTGGAAACGTCGCGACAATACGATTATCCACTGCTTATTTTTGGTAATAATAAGATATCAGTTATTAATCTAATCAACAATCCTTGGACTAGACTTAGCACAATAAATGAAGCCTACAATTAGTGATGCAAACGGCTGGCTCAGCTTGGCTCACGGCTAACATTAATAAAGCTGAGCCAATCTATCAGCTCCACAAATTAGAGCCGAGCTGTTTGTAAGCCAATCAACTTTAAGCTGAGCCGACTTTCGGCTCTGCAACCTGAGCCGAGCCATTTATAAGCCGATCAACCTAAAGGAGCTATGATTCTAAAAATAGTGGTTGGCTAAAGCGGAGTGAAGTTTAGGGTTACCTTTTTGACGCAGTTATGGTTAGTGGATTATATAGAAATTAAGAATGTAATTTATACAGCATGTAAATCATATATTGAATCAACTCCGCTTTAGCTGACCCCTAAAAATAAGGCAGTGTATTATACAAACTACTTTAAATTGTTACCAGTATCCAACGCCAGATTCAAATTACAAGAACGAGATATTTTATATATAACCGAATAGATTAGGGTTATTACAATAATGTAAAATGTCTTATTAAGAATTGAGAATTAAACAATACTAGCTTAAACTTTAAGAGTTCAGTTAGACTCAATTTTTAGCAAATATCAAGTATACTCTAAATCGGAGTGATCTTACTGTAGAATAAGTTTGTACCGAAAGTAAGTAATTTATGTTATACAAACTTAATAGATCAGTTCTCATAACCGGCAAGGTCAAATTTTACAATCTTTAAAAAAAAATTTTTAATTTTTTTGAAGATAAAATTAAAAGTGGGTTGCTAGTCGCTTTTAAAATTTTATGTTATGAGAATCGATTTATTAAGTTGTATGACCTTAACTTTTAATTTTTTAGTGCAAACTTGTAACAAGCTTAATAATTAACCAAACTTTAAAATTTAGAAATACGTTAATTTATTTGATGTTTATGATATTTTTAAACTAAAAAAAAAAATCATATACTGTATTTATTACAAAAATTTAATAAAGAGTACAACCGGCACAATTTTTTAACAAGACAGATTAGTCAAATAATTGGTGCTGCAATCTTTTTAACAAATTTATATTGAAGTGTTTATAATTATTCCTTATGAAACTTAATACCATGTTCTAACCAAGAATTAATGCACATAAGTGCTTGTATACTCTTCTCAGATAGGCGTGTACGTTTAGCTCGAACTATATTACCTGCTTTAGAGAATACTTGTTCAGAGGATACAGAGGTGGATTGAATAGCTAAATAATCTTTAGCCATCCGAGACAGGTGAGGAAAATGAGCAGAATTGAGTTTCCACCAGTTCAAAGGATCAGCATTCATAGGCAAAATGGCCTCGTTTAAATATTGGGTAAACTCATTTATATTATTGGTAAGAGTATTGGTTTTTCGTTTTTTTTGAGCAATTTTTTCTGTATATGTTAAATTTAATGATGGGTTTAAATTTGAGGAAGAATTAGTTAAAATAGGTTCAAAGTATTCAGTTCTAAAACTATTATCAAAAAGAGCACGATTGGTCTCAGTTTTCATGTCAGCAGGTACCAACTCTAATTTAATTCGAGGGTCAAGAACAGTAGCTATAAATGCCGTTTTATCAAAAATTTCATTAGTATATTTTTCAACTTTTCCGGACATTTGAGCTGTGGCCGCTTTAAAAAATTCTGGAGTTGTTGGATTCTGGATACATGATGAAATAGTATCAATTATATCATCAATTAGCAAGATTGAAATGCCTAAAGTTGTATATGTACTACCAGACAGAACGTTGGTAGTTTCATAAAACAGCTGAAGAAATTGTGTTGCAGCTTGAAGATTTGCCTCTTCTTGAGGTGTAAGTTTATATTTGTTAAAATTTTTATTGTGTCTAATAACAGCAGCAATCGTCGTGGGCATAGATGCATAGGCCGAAAGCATCAAATATGTACTATTCTATCTAGTAGAAACGTCTTGTAGAATTTTATGGATTGCTTCGCTTTCACCAAATGATTGCCCTAGTTCTTTAAAATCTTGAGTTATAGATGAGGATGAGGAAATGGCTTTGACAAAGTTCTGCACATTTTCAATTGATGATTTAATGAGAGTTAAACCAGTTGTAACAATAATATTTAATATGTAGGCTAGACAGCGACGAGATTGAAAATGAAAATAATGATTTTTTAAAATAAAATTTTTTTTTAATAATCGCATTGCTCAAATCACGTTAGAACTGCCATCAGTAGTAGTATAAAGTATCTTGGTAGCAATATCAAAAGTGGTGAAAACGGCATGCAGTTGTTCATTAATTTCTTCACCAGTATGTGGATGAAGAAGCATTCGGATATCAAGTAAGATTTTTTTAAGCTTCCAGTCATTATCTATCCAATGTGCTGTAATACAAAGAAACGGCATATTAGCACAAGATGTCCAAATATTTAATGTAATAGAGATTTTACTAGATACTTGTTTAAAGAGCATCTGAATGTCTTTCTGCATTACAACAAATGCATTATGAATATTAGACTTTATGGTTTCACGTGAAGGTAAGTTAATATTAAAATTAAGGTATTGAAGCATAGTAGCAAAGGATTTACTTGAGACAATAGAAAAGGGTAATGTATCGGATACAATCCACTCAGCAATTAATGTGTTAAATTTATCTTTTTGGGCTGGTGTTAAAATTTGTTTTGAAATTGTAATTTCAGGTATAAATGGAAGAAGTTGTTGAGACGATAGTTGCTTATTTATAAGCCATCCTGGATGCTGAGAATCAAAGTGTTTACATAAGTTACCAGTAGCTGTATTTATGCTGAATTGACTTTTACAAATACTACAAATCACCATCTTATTATCGATGGTTTTTTGTGAAAAAAATAGCGTAACAGAGGATTTAGACTTAGATTTTTTTTTATTCAAATGAATAGGATTATCATAAACAGAGCTATCAGAGGTGAGATTATCAGAAATATTAGAAACTATATTCATACTATTGCTTGTAATAGTAACAGTTTCAGTTATATTGTCATTATTAATGTCTTGAAAAACATCTTGAGATGCAGAAGAGGAATTATCATAGATATTATTTTCGAAGGTATTGTCAGTATTCATTGCAAAATTTATTTGTAAAGACTAAATATTAATTTTAAGTCAATTATGAAATTAGATAAGTATATTTCAAGCTCTTTTATACTGTATTTACTAATCGCTGATCAAGAATCTGTGTTTAAAAAGAATTTGATTTCAAGGCTATGCTTGTAGATTTTACTTTTTTTTGTATTTTTATTTTATGTAAGAATTCTAATTTTTTATTTTATTTTCACATGAATTGCATTGCCAAACTACAGAGAAATGGATCAACAAATAATTAAGCGGCTTTATATAACTTTCAAGCCAGTTATACCAGGCATTTCACAAATCAGTATGGTATAGGTAATCAGATTCGTATAGTACTAATCTAGTGCGATATAATTAGCGTTAGTGTATTATGGATTTTAAAATATGGTCTATATTATATGAATCTGATTATCTATACCATACCGATTTATTGCTTAAGATGGCTCAGCTTCAAATCCATAGCTAAGCTGCCTTGATTATCAGCTTATTTATTCTTCGGCTCCAAATCCATGGCTAAGCTGCCTTGATCGTCAGCTTATCTATTCTTCAGTTCCAAATCCATAACTAAGCTGTCTTAATCACCAGCTTATCTATCCTTACTTTCAAATTAAATTCAACAAATAGCATGATTTATGAAAAACTACAGCGATTAAACTAGGCTATTAAGGCTTTAGCAATTTGTGAGAAAACCAAGCCAATAGAGCAGGAATTCATCTAGGTGGTAACTAAAATATAAAGAATGAACTCAATACCAATTGATAATATGCCAAAAAACATGTTAACGGTTAGAACTGTTGATAGATTTTTTGCAATCTCGTTAAACAACCTTAGATACAAAAGAACATAAGGTTCAAAATTACTTAAATTGGTTAAACACAATAGATGAAATTACATTATTTCTAAATAAATTGGAATTAATCAAATAATTTTTATTGATCTATATTGTTTTTTTATTCTAATTAAAGTGTACAATTACTGACAAAATCAAAAAATCTAACTGTGATTGTATACTAACAAATAATTTTGTGCTGAACAATTATTCTTTATCCATATTTATATTAAACAATTCATCACTCATTTTTAACTAATCCAAACATATCTGCCTAACGCATTAACCTCTATAAAGCAAAAAATAAACATTAATAAAATAAACTTCAACATAAAAATTAAACTATATATTGGTATATACAAAGCTTCATGATCGTCTATTTTTAATCAACTGTTCTCAACTTTTAATACATATAAACAATAAAAATTTCCTAAGAAGTTGTATTCAATTGAAGGTTCCGCTTGCTTTGTTTAATGAAATGCTATGTATGCAGTTTTTAAAAATACTTTATAGAGCAAGCAATTAAATTAATAATTTTATTTAAGCAAGTTTTCATTGGCTAATGTCATGTGATATAAATTTATCGGCTTGCTTAGCTCCAAAGTTTGGAGCCAAGCCATTTTTAGAGCTGATAGTTTGGAGCCGAGCCATTTTTGAAGCCGATAGTTTATTAGTAGACCTGTAGCCGAGCCGATAATCGGCTTAGCTTAGCCATTTGGCTTACGCTTAGCTCAAGCTATTTGCATCACTACCTACAATCCCATTGAAGTAAGTTCTAGCTCAAGTGATTTGCAAGATGAGTTAATAACAAATCATAATATAATGGAAGAAAGAAGAGAAAAGTATGCTTACTACAAAAAAAAATTCAACTCAGCATTAGAATTGTATAAGCAAGAGATAGATAATGATAACTTCATGAATAATTTTGATGCATTAATGGCACCATTATTGAAAGAGATTGAAGAATATGAAACAGTATTACAAGCCTATAAACAGCAAGCTACCTGAAAAGCCAAAGGAAAACTTGCTAATTGTCTACGTTAATTAAAGGTTTGTAATATAATTAAACAGGTAAGTTTTACAATAATAATAAAAATTCAGATATCACTTTCCTTATTAGTTAGATGAAAAGACCACAGTTTATATAATATTGAGTTTGTATCTAAAAAGACGATACATGTTTAATTTATTAAATAGTTGTAGTTTAGTAATTATACACTAATTATATAAATGATTTTTTTTATCTTTAATAAATAACTCACTAAGTTTAATGCTTTGAAAGCATACTTTGTTTACAAAAGATGACCAATTTTTATAATTAAAAAAAATTAAGTGCAATATATAAAATCTTGTAATTTTTTGATCAAGAAAAAAAATAAAATGATTAGCTTGTTATATCGAAAAAGTTATATTGATAATGTAAAACTTTATTGCAATTGATCATCTTGTAATACTTATAATTAGATGATCATCATTATGAATCTAATTGGATAATTTGGATAATCATCTTTACGTAACCTAGAATTTTTTCACCATGGCTAGAATACTACCGCATCTCTCATACTACTTATATCTAAGCTCCCAAATTTGGTAGTCCCTTCTGGAATATGGCTTCGTAGCCTCAAGAGCTACTTCTAATCTTGGTTATCTTCAGCTAGTCTGCCCAGATAGTATTACGAAGAGGAACTCATGCTGGCCCAGGTTAAGTCTCGTCATTAATGCCTAGTTTAGTTAGTATGCTGCTGATTCCTGTTACCTTATAGGTAGGTACTCCTGTGTGTTGGTGCAGGCTTGCCATATTGCGTTATAGGTTACTCTATAACTTTCAAATTGCGGGTTTCGTATTACTTCTCTTCCATAGTTTGAGCTATGGTGTTCTGATGCTCTGACATTTTTAGATTACAAGGCTCTAGGGGTCTAGACCTAGTTGCGGCTTGTGGTCTGTAATACTTCCAATTTCAGTATTTGGTATTTCTTATTAATTTCTGGTATACAAGCCTGATTTGTACAATTGTACTACCAGTCCGGTGAATCTAACCATTTCGAGTTTTTATTATATACCCTGAGTTTTAGCCTTCTCGCTCTGTTTTCACAGGTTTCTTCCTTAATAGGCCAAGTGACTTGGAGCCAGAGGTGCTTCCGAACTCCAGATGGACCAATCTTTTACCACAAGTCATCCTCGTGTTCATCACTTTTCTCACTACTCCAGTTTTGTTACTATCGTATCACTCTTTCAATCAAGTACTCCAACCACTGGGAATGTTGGTGCTGCCCGGTCACCCCTAATCGAGGACTAACATGCACAACCTTTGTGTAACAGAACCTTCTAAGACATGTTATATGTAGTGCCACCACTCCATGATTGGATCTCCTTTCAGGAATTTCCTTTTCTGGTTTTGTACTTGCACTTGGACTTAACCACAGAGCTCCGCATTCGATTATGGCTCTCTATTGGGTTACAGAAGCTAAAAATCCTAAGATTTTGCCTCCAGCCCAACTCGAACCGTTGATCTAGTCTTTGGAGGTTTGGCAGCTTAACCGCTAAGCTATAGGGTCCAAACCCATGAAGTAATATTCTATTTCCATACTATTACAATATTATAACAGATTTTTATAGTTGTATATTTGTTACTTGTACTATATTAAGAAGATTACAGTCTACTTATAACAATTCAACACATATTTTTTTTATTTTTTTTTTGAATTTATTAATTGATCAACCAAAGAAAAATCATATCATATTAGTGAATTTTTACTAATATTTAATTGTAAATAACTTTTGATTCACTAATCCATTTTTAATAAAACAATTACCAAAATGTTCATCTTGATTAAATGATTCTAATAGATCCAAAATCAACAAAATCTAATTACAGAATTCTGATATTGTTAATGATTTGTTACACTTTGATGTTTTAAGATTAGTTTAACTAATCTTAAAACACCTGAAGTAACACAAATCTCTATTGACCTTAGAATCTTATAATTGAATTTTTGATGATTTTAGGTCCATTAGAATCATCTCATCTAAGATAAACATTTTGGTAATTGTTTTATTAAAAATGAACTAGTAAATTAAAATTTATTTATAGTTAGAAGAGTGCCAGAAATCTAGAGCTAAGACTCATAAATATTTACAGATAAAATGAATATTCAATTAGAATGTGAATATTCTGTTATACAAAATCTGTGAACAATCGAGACTTATTTAAGGATATTCTGTACAAATAATCTATATAAATATCTGTACAAATATCTACATGAATATTCTGTGCAAATATTTTTGTGCGAATATTTATATAAATATCTGTATAAATATTTTGTATAAATATTTGATAAATATGAAAAATATAATCATGTAAGATTTTCTGAATATCTACAAATTCTCTGAATATTTGCATATTCTCTATGAATATCTGCGAATTTCTTGATATCTGCAACTTCTCTATAAATATTTGCGAATTTCTTGAATATTTATATAAAGTGTATATATTCGTTCATTACTATATGCGAATGTCTAAAATCTGCGAATTTTTTCTAAATAACTGTGATGAATATTTAAAGGATCTCAGCTCTACAGAAATTATGTGATTTTTATTATAGATACATAGTTAGACAAGAAATCATATATATATATATATAATATAGTATATAATCAAAGATAATAAAATATATAATATAGTATATAAATTATATACTGTATATATTTTAATAAATCTTTAATATTTATTCTAAATAAATATATAACTCTTTCTAACAATCACTTGAACCAAGACTGCACCAAAACAGTTTGAAGATTCAATGCTTTAAAAAGTCTAAAGATACCTGAGGTTCCTTATTGGTACTGTTTCGACGAAGACTTATATATAAAACATCAAGAAGTGGGTGTATATAGTTGGTTTGTGCTCTGGGTTAAGCTTTTCTTCTTAGTGGACTCCCTCGTATATTCGGCATCCAAACCAAAAGGGTTATTTTGGTAACAGTAGTGGTGAAAAACTCCCAACTTAAGTGTCTAAAGCTTTTTAGTTCTATGAAGAACAACTAAAAACATTTTCATTGTCTTGAGCTTTCACAAATACAATATTTTTTCCTTTCAATACTTTTGGCTATAACTTTTAACAAAAAGTGAAGAATTCAGCATACCTCCTCCAAAAGATTGGCAATATTTATTACTTCTATATCAAGAAACTCTGTATGATGATAAACAATATGTGTAAAATAGATAGTGTTGGCAAATTTAGTAACTAGATAAGTATACAGAAGAATACCTTATGTGTTATATTGTTAAGAATATATAAATATATAATCATTGGATAGAGCACATAAAGATTTCAAAATTCTTATACTTTCGGATGAAGATATGAATTTAATTGAAAGAGTAAAGCAAAGTGAAAAGAGATATACAGGCATCCTCTATTCACCTGTATATAATTTTTAGCCTCTGGTATGAGTTATATTTTAGTTTTAATTTTCTTGTCAAGACTCTTGTACTTACACAGGTTCAATAAATATATAAAGGATACATAATAGGATCTCTTTATTATCCTGATATCTATCCTTTATGTATCTACTCTCAACCTGGTTTGCTACAGTTTTTTGGTAGATGTATGATAACATAAAGGATAAATATCGATACAATATATAAGATAAATATAAGATAAATAAAGGGTATCTTTTAGTATCCCGATATTGATCCTTTATATAATAATT